TACTCAATTTTTTTTGGTTCAAATTCAGCACAGCTGTAAAGTGCCTTAGTTAAAAAGTGTAAATGTACAAGATTTCAGTTCAACAGACTAAAATAGTTGACCTCATTACTAGGGTGAGCATTTAGGACAAATCGGCAATTCTACACAACCCTGGATATGCATCCTTCCATAATGAAGCTAATTACTAACTCTAATTTCTTGAAAACTTAAAATAAAAGGTAACACTTACTATTTGCCTTAATTTACACTTTCATTTTTCGAAACGTGCATTTACAACATTTGAAATAATCAGCTCAGTGACGGAATGACACAATTTCTTTCTTATGTGGAATTGGCCAATCATCAACAGATGTAGTGAATTTATTAACTTCTATAGGTTATTTGAAAAGAGATGCTGTCCTAATGAAAATAAATTACTCTATTTTGAACACCAAACCTTGAAAGTTTGTTCTGCCATTTTAATATTTCTTCGAGAGCAAAGACCCATTCGGCTGAGTAAAGCACTCAGCTTGGAACACATACATACTCTCTGAAAGATTTTCCCCCTAGTTTTCCTTCTGACCTCATCTCTGAATGTCCCCATTAATCCTGGAAGTCAACCTTCTCGATCTGGCTTACCTGGAGTGATGACAAGAAGGCCCGTCAGTCCCTCCTCGGACATCAGCATCCCTCGGACTTGCAGATCCTCTCTCCAAGTGCCTTGCCAACACACAGATCTACGTGTACGACACAGATCGACAAAGTACAACGAAACCTGATCACACAAACGGAAACGCTGTCAAAAATTGTCAACCCTAACATCCCTGGATGCTTCAGTAGTCCACAGTGTTGGTACACTACCTGGGGGGTCCCAGTTTATAGATACTAATCAGGGATACTGATCGGACCAGGCATACCACCTTGGTACTACCAAGACCTTGGACTGAAAAAATAAAGAAAAATGCAGAAAAAAGAGAGAATTCTGGAAATTAGAGCTGTCTGAAAAGTACAGTGTTTTTTACATTTAGAGTCAACTGCATTATTTACTACATTAATTAATCCTGAATTGCCCTCACATCGAGCCTTACAATTATTTTAAAGATAATAGGCTTACCCCTTCAAAACCTGCAATGAAGATATTTTTATGCATATCAGATAGTATCATAAATGTATCCAGAAGTCAACTGTGTGTTCAAATTTGCAAAGCTGAATGGTGTAAGCATTTTACAATAACAATTTTCCCCAGCAATTTTGTTTGACATAACACTGTTATGCCTTTTTCTGGAATGCTTTGTCAGAAAAATGTTTAAAAACCACAGTTCTAAGATTATTGAAGATGGCAACGAGTATTAACAGTACATGAAGTTCATTATTACTCTGAAGCAGCAAACAAACTAAACTGATGCTGGTGAACGAAGTAATTTCCCTTTTGTATTATCAATTTAAGTTACCTGTTATCTTTGGACAGTGTACCAACATGGAATGGATCGAGGTCTTTGCCAAAGTGTATCTCAGCAGACATGTGCCGAAAGTGATTGTCCTGAGGCCACTCGCCCAAAGCAAAAATGAGGAGAAACTTGGGCAGAGGAAGAGGAACGGTGCCTTCAAACCCATGCTGCTCTCTGCTGACAGAAAACATTAGAGTACGGATCTGGTAAACTTATTCCACTTACTTATTGTCACTCAGTTCATGCAGCATTTGTCAAAATCATCTATCTTGAAGTGGTTTGAAAGGCCATATGCATTGGAACAGTCTTACCGTAAGGTTCTGAAGGGCGAAACAGAGCCCACGAGAAGCTCCATGGAACTTCGCAGAGTCCCAATGTTTGCGGCAAGTTTAAGACTGTGAAGGATTTTCAGAGATTATTTCTTCAGGTTTAGCCACATATACTCAAACTATGGGGAAAAGGAGTCCTTGAAAGGTTGTGGGTCATCCAGGGTCCACAACATTGAAACAATCAGGCGTCAATTATGAAAGAATTTCAAGTACATGTACATGTGAGTCAAATGTTCCCAGAAAACCCTCAGCTGTCTGTCAATACGCTCACACTTTTCAGCTTCAGATAAAACATGAGTAATTACATGCATAGATACTACTGGTTAATTTGTATGACTAATGGCTTGCTGAGTAAAATCTTACATTAACCCTAACAGTCCCAAATCCTCCAATTTCAATACGATTTTACATACACCCTTGGGGGTTAGGGTTAAAGACCATACCACAATTGATCCTCAAGTGGCAATATACATCATGGGGAAACAGAATGAAAAGACTTGGGTCAGCTGTTTCCATAGCTTGATTTAAATGATTCTAGTGTCAGCAATTGAAGCCACAAGACAGTTGATTTTTGATTTTCCTTCGGCCACTACACCAACATAACACCATAACACCATGGACCCTTTGGGCAGGAACAAGTGATGGCATATATGTAGCAACCACTCTGGTGGGAACTCACTGTGCGGATGTACCAGTTCATGCACTAAACATGCGAAGACAATTTCTGGGGAAAGGTTCATGTATGGTCTTCATCTACATATCTAGAACGTAATCACTTCACGAAATTGCCTGTAAGGCAGCACTTCTACTCCAAGTGGATACAAGTTAAACTACCTACAAGTACACCCATGCTGATTCCTTTCGCTCCAGCATGGATGGTAAAGATGTTGCTTTTATAAAGGTGCATTTCAAAGTTCAATGCAAACAGACACAACATCAAAACAGCATGGCCATTTACATGTATGTCTACACTTATCCCCGGCAAAGATCCTGAGAACTCCGAATTTCAGTTTTATACACGTGAAACAAAATGAGAAATTAGAAGGGATTCCAGCATCACCCAAATCTTCAAACTTCTCGTGTCATTCTGTAATATGATACAAACGCAGTTGTCCATGTACCTGCTTTCAATGTGAAAGTGATCGGCTTCATCGCTGGCTGCAAATGGTATCTCTTGTGGTGCACCATCCGTTGAGAACAGCACATACAGCTTCAGATTCTCCATCCTTGCATTCACACGGCAAAGTGCAGGTCCAAACAGATTTTACATGAGACGGCACTTACAGCAGTAGTCACAGTGTAGAATGGGTCCACGTTATGAATCCTGCAGAAAAGAACAGCAGAGCAGGAAATTTGCATAGGCATACATGTGAGAATCCCACCCATGGACATCACAAGTTCTTCCCAGCAGTGACACACTGTATCAGCCACCAGAAATAAGGCCAATGATCTCAAGGTTTATGTCAGCCACTTCTGAGAAAAGTGATGAGGGTTTATCATCATCTTTCATCTGCAAACATCTCCGTAAATTTGACGAGGGATATTCCTAAAAATTCATCACACTCACACAGTGCATAGAGGCTGAACTCATTTCAAAGGCTCTTGACTGTGAAAAAAAATTTGAATTGCAGAGAGAATAGAATTTCAAAATTCAACAGGGCAAACAACTGCAATTTATTGACCAAAACAAAAAGAAATGCTTTCCTTTCATGCATGAGTTGACAGCGATAGTCACCAAGGCTTTGGAAAACTTATGATATCAGTCTATTGGATGATCTGAAACATGACTGGATATGGTATTTGAAGAGTGTAGATTTCAACTGCTGCCAAACAATGCATTCGTTTGACCTCGGGTGCATGCGTCGTGCCAGTGTTTCCGATGACAGTGTGCTGATTGTCAATCAAAATTGGCTCCTCCCCGTACCTGTCAGTGACTCGACTGTACGCATACCACCACACGTACCAGTACATGTGTACATCATA